CATTTGATAATTTTGGTGTGTTTATCTTTATTATAAATAAAAATGAAATTTTCATATAAAATCTCTTCATTCACCAGATACCATTAGACAGTTTTTTAAATTAATCCAAGGTTGCCAGACTTTACCCAGATGCAATTAAGGCTCACAATGAAACACCTGGGTCGTTTCCAATTTAATGTCCCAAATAGGCGTCACTTTTTCAAAAAGCAAAAGTCATTAAAATTTCTCAGCCTGTCATTACGGCTATGGCCACAATTTCCGATGAGATGGATCTTAACACTGACGTTTCTGCGGGTGAATATCTTCGCAAAGTAGCTAGCGAACGTTTTTCTGTAAAATCATTGGTTTAATGTCAACAGTGGTTCTTTAGGTAGGGGTTAAGCAAGGTTTTTTTGTAGGATTTTATATTAATTTCGCACTTTATTTACCTGTCTGTTTTTCATACCAACTACCTTTGTATTGCAGGTCTATAAAAGCAAGACAGAAGCTGCCAAAAAGGAGTATCTGAAAGCCCTGGCAGCTTATCGTGCCAGTCTGGTGTCCAAGGTAGGACCCCAGGGTCTCCCTGTCCTCCTGCTAACTGAGAGACCCACTGCGATATAAGCAAGCAGGTTACCTCACCGCTCATGCAGTTCTGGAGAAGCAGAGAATCAGACGCAGCAATTAGCGAGTCTGTATGAGTTTTCTCGTTCAGGGGCACGCTTTTATCGGCATGTCTGCCCGCTGAAAGCCACAGAACGCCGAGGGCAGAAAGTGTGCGATTATCTGCCCGATCTGGATGGTCTGGCCAGCCAATGGCTGCTTGGCCCAATGTGAATGATGAGGGACCTTGGCGGAGAGCTTCGGCTGAGTAAAGAAGTAGCTCATTCTTTTACGCTGAGGTCAGCGTAGTGACCTTGGCCAACCCCCCCCCCCACACACACACACACACACACATCTGGTGGCTGCAGAACTGCTGATGGTGAATGGAGCAACTGCAGGGCCCCTGTGTTGCAGTAGCATTGGACTTTTCCCTTGGAGAATCTCCTTGACTCGTTTAGCCTCCAAGGTCCATCTGCTTCCAGATGTAAATGGCTTCCGTGTCTCTAATGCTCCACCGAAATTCCAGCATGACGCCTGGATTTTTCACTTGCCGCCTAGAATGTTCTTGCTTTAGTTGAAGTGAAGCAGAGGATTACTAAAGTCAGTGTTGGCTCTGTCCTCACTGCGCACTGCCCTTTTTCCCCAGTAACTGCAGCCCTGTTTTTCCCGCTTCTCCCACTAGGCGGCTGCAGAGTCGGCAGAGGCACAGACCATCCGATCGGTCCAGCAGACGCTGGCCTCCACCAACCTCTCCCCCTCGCTGATGCTCTCTGCTCCCATGGCGCAACACCCGTCCATGTCGGCTGCCTCCCAAGCCCTGCAGCAGGTGCTCCCGCGTGCCATCGCCCCCAAGCCGCTGCCAATGCGGCTGGCAGGCGGCCCCGTCCCGGGCTCTGTGGCTGGAGGAGTGCCGCATGGCATGCCCTCGCAGCTGATTGGCCAGATGGGCGCCGGGACGCCGGGGAACGCCCCTCCCTCTGCGGTCACCCAGATGAGCCCGCCCATGCAGCCGCAGCAGCAGCATCACCACCAGATGCAGCAGCTGCAGCAGCACCTGCACCAGCAGCAGCTGCACCACCAGCAGATCCAGCAGCAGATGCAGCAGCAGCATTTCCAGCAGCACCTGAAGCAGCAGCTGCAGCAGCATCACATGCAGCAGCAGCAGCAGCACGTCCAGCAGCAGCAGATGCAGCAGCTGCAGCGCATGCAGATGCAGCAGCTGCATCAGCAGCAAATGCAGCAGCTTCAACAGCAGCAGCAGGCATCCCAGTGTTCCCCGCCCCAGCAGTCTCCAGGCACCCCGCAGTCCGTGGGGGGCTCTGCCTCCCTTGGCAGCCCCCAGCCCCCCTCCCAGCAGCAACACCAATCCCAAATACAGTCCCACTCTCAGGCCCACGCCCAGGTCCTGTCCCAAGTTAGCATCTACTGAACCAAAATCTATTTCATTAAAAAAAAGGAATTTAACTAAAAGCACCAATCCTGGCTGCTTTTCTAAGTTGCACTTAAGAAGTGTGTAAAGTATGTTTTACGATGAACTTTCCACTGTTGTAGATGGATATGCAGAAATATGCATAAAGGAACAAATATCTGAGATGGATTTTGTCTATAAAATAGGCTGTATAATGAAAAGGCGTTTTTGGGCGACTGCCTAGTTGCTCATTTTTTCTCTCTCGTTTTCTCATAACCTTCAGCTGAAAATGGACCCGAGGCGCCACTGTGTTAAAACATGCTGTAATGTTCACAGGGAAAATGCCCCATATTATTTAAAGGCTTTATTCATAAGCTTCACACCGTCGGTTTTGCTCTGAGGACGGGCAAAATCGGTGGATCTGAAGAGCATCAGCGGAACTTAAAAATCAGTGCGGGCAAAGCTTGCTGCATATTAAACCTTCAAAGAAACACTTTAAACTCCGGAGGGGACCTTTAGACTCCAATGACTTAGTTCTGGAAAGCAGTAACCGGTTCATGATCCATAAGAGGCCAGTGTGTTATGGGGGCCGTCTGCCGCCCCCTTTCCCTGGTTATGTTTGTTTCGTTTTGCTCGCCCCTGTCTGTGGGAAGCCCCGGATCGGAATATGCTGCCACAGAGGCATGTTGGACACGTGTTTGGGGTGCTGTGAACACCAAATGTGAACCTACAGGACCCCAGAATATCTTTGGGAGGGGGCTTGGTTCTGAGGACGAGGTTGATAGAGGGCAAAAAGAAACAATACCATAGACCAATTCACGTCATTGTGTGTCTTTAAACTGTAATGGAATCTGCTGTATGTGTCTGTGACTGAGGGCAGGGAAATATCCCTAAAACTCATCCGCGTGAAAAAAAAAATACACAGTGTACAAACGGCACTCCAAAAAAAGGCGGGAAAAAAAAAAAGATGAAATCACCCTTTGAAGTATTTGTCCTTACCTCAGGCTTTTAACATGCTCATAAATTATGTTTTTTTATTTTCTTCATGTTGTCTAATAAAGTGAATATTTTATGGTTAGTGTAAATGGCAGGATTTAGGTTGAAGCTGTCATTATTTTTCACCATCCCGTGATTAACAAAAAATTAAAAACAAAAAAAATTATTGTGATGAATTTTATTCTGCCACGTTGTCGGAGGCGTCAGAAATGAGGGTGGAATGTTTGTGCCAGTTACAAAGAGACCTGTAAGAATGGAAAGAGCAAAGATGTACATTTTTCATATCATATGTTCTAAAGTTTTAATATGTGAGGCTTTAATTAAAACATTGGTAAAATTACCTGTGGATTGCTACATCGCATAGTGTATTTCTGCTGTTTTGTACTTTTTTATGAGTTACAATAGCAGTAATTAAGTCGTTTGTATTTTGCTTACAGAAAACGAATTCAACTGCCTTTTAAATCTGTCTATAGAATAAATGCATTTCAGTATAAAACTCTATCTGTTTTTGAGCTCTTAATAGGCAAATTTATTGAGTTTTGCTTGGTCAATGAAGTAAAAGAACATTCCATCAGTTATATTATATTAGCCATAATTTTGTATGAAGCATTATATTTCTCAGTGTCCACTTGTTTTCAATTAAAGACGACGATAACAAATGTTTATTTCAAGGAATCGATTCATTTCAACAATTGATTGTAGAACCAAAGGTTTTTTTATGTAGTCAATGCAAGGTTAGATGAATCACTACAGGAAAATGAGCATAAACCCTGTTTTACATCAATTTGTATTTGCAGTGATATGATTTGAGCAGCCAGTGTACTATGCAGTGTAATATGTAAAAAGGGATGTTGAGCCTCTCCGCTAATTTTCCTTTCACACCTATCAGCAGTTTAGCTTTTTTAGCTATGCACATGTTGTTGTCTGAATTGATGCATTGTGAAGACCCTCCGGGTGTATTCACTCTATTTGAGAATCAAGTGAATCGGGGGGGTGGTAGGCATCTCAGTCAGTTATCATAAATCTACAATGGGATTGCAAGGCAAATGGACTCCAGACCTCAATGTCTAAAACAAAAGAAATGACAAGGTGTTTGTTTGTGTGTGTGTGTGTGTGTTTGTGTGTGTGTGTGTGGTGGGGGGGATATGTGGCAGAGGCATGGTATAAACACGATGGATTGTTTTAAAAAGTAATTATTTTTAGCATATTGCTATATAGTTAAATTTGTTGGAGACCTGCAGTAATATTTCTCCCAGTACAGAGTGACTCAATTCCCATCTCTGTTACATGATTAATTACAGCATCTGTCCTGACAGAAGCAGCAGAGAAGAGGCCTCTAGGAAAACTGCAAATATGCACTGGCAACAGTCTTAAACCGCTTATGATGAAATGAAAATTAAAAACAGCAAGTACTGTGCATGACCTGAATCTCAATAGCACAGACGAAAATGCTGAAGGTGTCCATGACTACCAAACACAAGATTTAAAAACACACAGTAATGAGTCTCTGGAAGTGGCATTTATTATTCAGAGAAATATTTTCAGGAAGGGACATTAATAATGCATGCTGCTCTTGTTATTTCCCAGCCCGTTAACATTGTGTTTACTGTGTACAAATATTTCACTGTTTGGACCGTTCACTTGAAGGTCTTAGTTATTTGCTTGCTTTTTTGATACATTATTGTGAACCATTCAGAAAACATGATAATGAATGCTATTTTTCCCAGGACTTGTGCAGTTATATCCTCATATTAACCAGTATTTTGAATTTGTTCTACTTCAGGGAGTTTTCTTAAAATGGTTATGTTTGACAAAGCAGAAGTTCCCAAATTGCGTCTTTAATTCTACCCGGTCAGCGATTTTGATGTATGTCAGTATGACCCAGATTGTCTTTTGCTGCTCTGTTCCAGTATCTGTCTGCGCATGAGGGTCGCGCAGGGGAGACAGCTGCGCTGTACTGCACTGCACGCGCACAATGCACAATAGGTATGCAGTGACGTCGACCTACCCGTCGGCCCAGCTCGCGCCCGACTTGTCCGCACGTGGCGCGCGCAGCTTCCGGCCGTGGACCGTGTAGTGTGGCGCTCCCATCTATACGGGGGGAAAAAAACCCACCTACAAAGTTCTGTAATGTATTCGTACGGTTTAAGGCGATTTTAAATGACCCCAGAGCTGCGCCGACGCGATGGTGTAGCCAAATCTCATGTATTCCCCCAAAGCTGCGGTTGATGAATTTCTTATGAGCGTGTGTCGGCCTTCACTACGCGAAGAAGAAGGCGATTTTCGGAAAAGAAGCAAGGTGCGTTATGGTGTCTCTTTATCGAATAAGTGCCAACTCCGCCAGGCTATCGCTACGAAACTACAAAGGCGCTGGCCGTCGCACAAAACGAAGGCATGTCTGCCAAATCAAACTTCTGTCCACCTGGAGCGATAAACTCAACGCGTTAGTGTTACTGCAAACCGTCAACATATTTTCAACCGTTTACACAACTTGGCTGTGTTGTTCCTCCAAACCGTTACAGATGGATACTGGCAGTGAAGGGCCGATCCCACGACAGCTTGCTGGCCGAATAACCATTACCGTACCGTTACTCATGAACCGGAGCGTGTCAGACTGGATAGACCGGTGTGGACCGAACCCGTAGCGGCCTGACTGTGGCTAATGCGCTGGTAGCAGCTGGAGTGCACTACTTTTTGCTTTACTAATTACGAATTCTCCCGTTAAATCATCCACAGTGTATACCTGCCACGATCAATTACAGCATTTCCAATTAAGAAGTACATTTATCATTACACTATTAATGTGCATTTAGTAAGATTCCTATAATATGAATAACATATATAAATAACGTTGTATTAATCGATTAATTAAAACGTGGCTTAATCAGTTAAGTTCTGTTCTAGAAACAGACATGTGAAATCCTATTAAAGAAAACTGCAAAATCAGTGTATGTCAAAATATTGGGCCATCATATAGATATTCAATTCAATAAACTAATTATTTCAAACTTTGCATTCTTGACATATTAAATCTAACAACATAATGCTGTGTAGTGAATTTACATAAATTTATACTAAACATGGAAAGCCCTCACCAAGGTCATAAAAGTTGTTAGGAATGCAGTGCAAATCATTAGTAATGTTATGTATCTGTTTTAAGTCTTTGTACATTCATTTTTGTGAGGGTATTTAAATCCATTGTTTTTCTTGGCCAGTGTCAGTTTCTTAATATGGAGTCCTGTTGTGTTAATGTGCAAGGTCAGCTGGTTCATATTGCACTGTGGAATCTGGAAAAAGTGCAGCAACATTAACAATTACCATATTTGTCAAATCGGTTGCCTTCATGACTCAGTGAGAAGGTGGGCTTCATTTCCATCTTGAGTTAAATTCTCTGAAAGTACTGCTGCGTTTTCATTCTTCTGACCTCCGTGTCAGCCTGGAAATTTGTACTGTACAATTTTTGACAAGTTTAATAAAAGCAAAGGACACTCTGTCCTTTAAACGAGGAGAAAAAAAACATTAAACCTCATACATCCACTTAATTTTTTTGGTCATTTCCACCTGCAGAACTCCAGGATATTTTATGAAGAGGTTTAAAGAGAATGAAATATGTCGAATTACTGGTGTATTGGAAAGCAGTGGTATGCAACAACTAAACTACTTAGTAAGCAGGTATTACATTTGTTCCAGATCAGAGTCATGATTTGAAATTGTTTTTTTTCCTTAGAGCTGTGTAGCTTGGTTATTGTATCTGAAATTTGCATGAAGAGAATCAGTTGAACTGTTCTTGAATTTTTCCTGTACAGGGACTTTTTGTTTGACTGATTCCTTTGGTGCCAGTGCTGTGATTTTATGGTATACAGTGAAGGTAAGTTACAAACCACACTTTTAATGGGTCTGTCCTGGGCCTTTTCACTTGAATATAGAATTGCGTACTGAGCCTACACGTTTTCTCATTGTCCATCCCTCTACTTTGAGCAGCCTGCTCCAGTAGCCTGTCAACAGGAAGCACTGGGGAGTAGTGCGAGGTTTACCCTGACTGGTGTTGGATGGAGGACTCCCACAATGTGTTCACTGGGACACCAGTACACACGGTATGTGTCTAGAAAATGTGGGGGGTGTTGCTGGAGCAGACAAACCCCTTCTGCTCTGAAATAGGGCTGGTTCATTACCTGGGAGCTATGCGTCAGCAAGCCGAATGACTTAGTTTCTGTAAAATGTATAAATACATTACACACTGCAGTAACCCTGCTATTGAAATTGGTTGGATACAATTTCAGTGTTTTATCTTCCTGTTCCTAGGCTTGCCTGAAGTGGACTCATTTTCCTTTGACTTAGACTTGATAGTTTAACCCTCTGGTGGCAAATTAATATCACTTTGAACCTGGTCACCTGACTGTCCGTCCTAAGACAGATATGCTCCCACTACACACACACAAACAAAATGAAGAAATCCCACATTTATGTCATTTTATGTGGATTATGTTGAACCATGTAAAATTCAATCCTGACAGTTTGATTTGTCTGAACCAGACACAGTTTATCTATAATTACGTTATACCGCATGATGACTTGGATTTGGATATGGAATATACCACGTGATACATTTTGTTTGTTATGAATGTTTTACATTTGGGATGTATCAAATGAGAGGATACATTGTGTGTGTTGATTTGTGTGTGCGCCTTATTCCAGGACTTCCATTGTGAGACTTCACTGTCTGGGTTTTTGAAATTTAGATTCAGGGACAAGTGAATGCGCAGAAAAGGCATTGAAAAGGTCAAGAGACCATCCAATTAGGAAAAGTGAATATTTCTGTTTGCATGTTCAGCTACAAAGGGGAGGGGAGGGAACAGAAAAGAAACTTTCCTGACTGCAGCTTCACCAGAGACCTGCATAAGTGACCTGCCTTTAAATGGCCTTTTCTGAATGGCTTTCACCTTAAAGGGATTTACAGCTCACAGAACTTGAAAACCTGGCAGACCTATTTATTTTGCCTCGAAATGTCAACATAAACAAGGTACTTCATTGCACAGTATCAAGTCATGCTGTTTCAGATGTGCATCTCATATGGCCATGGAAGTAAGCAACATTTCTAACAATGAAGACGACATCGATAAAGCTTTAACAATTATAGTGTAGTACAATTATGTCCAGTGCCACTTCTAATTTGCTGTTATTATTTTTGCTGATGCTATTACAAATAGTGACTAAAATCCACTAGGCTTACTCGCCTTCTATTATGGCATTTAAAAGGGTTATTTAGATTTTGGTACAAACTGCCAGTTTCATTTGGAATGACCATTTGACTTTTGTAAGATTAAAATTTAATTTGTGACCGTTTTACTTGCCTTTCAGTGAAAGGCAACAATAAAAGAATGGGGAGAAGCCAGATTAAAATATAAGATTATAAAAAAAAACAATACCTTTCTGTTTAGCGCTGCATCCTTTGTTAAATATTTCTCTGCTTGATTCAGTGTGGGGGGTTCTGTCATAAGAAGCACATTTAATGCTACCATTGTAAGATTTATACAGCACAGGTCAGAAACATTTCAGAAGTACCCATCTACTCGTTTATTTTTATTTCCACATAAGTGTATTTTTAAGGTAATAGGTTTTACACCTTTAATTATTTCTTTTATGACTCAGAACATTTTTATTTTATTGATTGATTTTGCACTCAATGATTCTTCAAACTTTAATTAAGTTAATAGGCAGAGTATTTTATTTCAATAATGGGCTGGATTAAGAGCCAAATGCTTATGGAAAGAATGTGTGCAAAGGTTGTTTTTTTGATTAACGGCTGAGTAATTATTTAATTTGATGCCCATAATAAAATTACCCGTCCATTTTTGAGGCATTTTTCTTGACCCCAGTGGGATGAGTGCTAGCTGTTTGCATTGAAGATAAAAGCATCTTGGGCAGTGATACGTCACAGAGCAATTTACTGCCATTGTGTCACATTGTAACATGGCTATAATCGAGCACTCAGAGCACAGTGGAGGAATAATGATGTCATCACGAGCTGGTTGGTTGATAAGGTGAGCAAGTGGTCAGGGTTCCAAGGAGGTCCCCCCGGCTCAGGGTCTGCGTTTGACGATGCCACACCCTCCTCAGGGGAACGGACATGTGTGCACAAAATCTCAAATACAAGCACCTTTTGCAAGTCAGTTACTAAAGTGAAGGAATGTCAAATAAATTTTATATCTGCAGTATTACAGTTTGGGAAGCAATGTGAGCGCTCCCTCATCGATTGTAGGTCCATTCCTCAGAGCAAATGTGATTCTAGTCTTTTTGATCTGAAACTACAAAACATAAACAACTCTGCTAAATTAGGCTCTTTATTAAAGTAATCAGTGTAAACAATGATAAATACAGAGACCAAGAATAAGAGCTTATGGCTGGTATTTTTTCTACTGATGTCATTTAGATATTTACTTTACCATATTGATTTGTTTGCTCAACGATGTTTTTACAATCACTCTGTTAGGCAGTACAGGGAGCTTTGATATGACAGGAAATTAAGCTGTATCGAGTAAAATGTTTCTTTGCACTGCACTGTGGAAAACAGCTAGTTTGATTTCAGCATTTGAAATGATCTTATTTCATCTTTTTGTAACTCTCCAGGTTCTATGTGTGTGTTTTTTTATATAGAATCTTGTTCTGAATTGGCCTTCTATTGCGTCTTACTTACCGTGCTAATGCTAGCTATTACTGATCTCCCATGTTTCTATGGCAACAGAGCTGATAAAGTGTACTGAGAGGGAAAAATGATAGATTATATGTGCATGCTGTGTCATATCCAATTAGCTCAAATTGACTGTACGCCACATTATGCGGGTGCTCTGAGGAAGATCGATAAATATGGACAACGTCCAGAAAGGTTCCCCCTCGTCTTCTTTGTCTTCTCCCGGCCCGGATGGCAGGGGAAAACAGAGACGGATCATGCTATGATGATGTGCTCTCACTGCTGAAGGGGCAGGTGCTGCATAGACACCATTCAGGCTTGGCCTATTCAGCCTGAGCTCCTGTAACGCTCCATTCATGCATAGCAAAACACCATCTGCTCCTGTTTTGCCTCAAGCAATCACAGCTGACCAAAAAAACCACCATAACAGCTGTTGCAAAACAAAAGCCAAACAAAGGAGTGTAGCGAGAGGTTAGACGTGCGTCCAACACTGAGAAATATTCCAGGGAGTGGGTGAAGGAAACAGTAGGGTTTTCAGGGGGAGGAAAAATGGAAATCTACTGAGGAACGCCAGGAGATGGGGTTAAATATGAGACATTCAGTCCATCTGTCTGAAGGAGCCTTCAAAATCCTCAATAGGTCAGGTGATGAAAGACGAACAGAAATAACAGAAATAATGCCTGCACACATTCATTAGAAATCTTTGTACTTTGCAGATTAAAATGAATGGTTAGTGGAAAGGAGGCCCATCTAGCTGTTCTTGTTGCTTGTTGAGTTAACTGGTGGGAGAGCCTGGTTAGCAGAAGCACAATAGGGAAGTACAGAGTAAGAGCACATGGAAAAAGCAGGTTTTCCTTTGGATTAGGGGCTCCTTAATGTTGAGGAATGGACCACCCGGACATCCGGCTGGCATACAGACAATTTGCATTTGAATATTCCATATTTACAGTAAGTTGTTATAGAGGTATATGGTAGAATGTGTCATATTATTTAATGAGGATACTATCAGTGTTTCTGTCAGTTAACGCTGTCTGCCATGTGCTTTAAATGTTAATTTTATTTTGTTATTAAAAAGTTAGGACCTTTCTCTAAAAAAATACAGTATTGTATTTCAAACAATAAGATGCTGAAATAGATGTTTTCATTGAAGAACTGAAGGCTATTTGAAAGATGAATGCAAAGACGCCCAAAGAGAGTAGTTCCTCTTTCTTGGTTGAGGAAGACAGATGGCAAGGGTGCCAACTTTTGGCCATCCATGGGCATATAGGCCTGGAGGTGTGGGAGAGCCGAACAGGTCGCATGCCTTCAGACCTCGCTGATCACGGATCAGTTCTGTTTCTGTGTTAGGCTTTTCTTTGGACTCTGCTCCCCACCCTGCCCCAAACCTCACAAATGCTCTCTGTGTGGCCACCACCCATACACGCACACTTCTGCCGTCGGCATATTATATTTTAGTGATTTCTCCAGTGTTGTAATCTATCATTATTGTATTATGTGAGACAAAACGTTATATCTCTGTCATACTTCATAGTAGGAAACACTGGGATCAGACAAGTCCCTTAACTGAAATGTTTTCATGATGCATTTTATGATCAGTTAAAACATTTTCTCATACACTGGTCTCTCAGAAGAGTGTTCTGCAGTGTCATTTATAAATGTCTTTCTTGGAACAGCAGTTTTCAATAAATGCTGCAAAAGATAAATAATAAAGCCATAAGGAGACAAGTCCAGCTATTTGTCTCTGTTTCTGTGGAGATTTGTCCGGTGGGAACTGGCCTTCTTGTCCAAAAATTATTTTTTTACCATTTAAAGTTTCTTTTTAGTTAGTTAAATGACAAAGTATTACTCCTTCTTAACTACTTATGTCACTTGAGAAATATTTTTTTTAACCTTTTAGTTGACATTGACCAAAGGAACAAGCTATTCTGTCCAGTTTTAATTTAGCTTCTACGTTTAAACCTAGCTAGCTTTTGTAAATTTTCTTGTATTATGATTATCTGTTGTTTTCATCTGAAGGTATTTATATACCATCTTGTGAAATTAGTATTTGCTACAGAAACTAATAATTTTAACCGGGCTAGCCTTGTGAGAATTGCTTTGTAACTACAGCAACGCCTTACAGTCAGTGGGTGGGTCTGGGTCTCTGCTTATTATGAGAAAACAAATAACCCAAGAGTGGATCGACCTCATTTTCACTGTACAATAGTGGAAAAAATGGGGTATCATTGTTGGTAGGAACATCATTGCTGGCCTGTTTCTCAAACCGTCTCTAAAAAGCTTTTGAGCACTCAAAAAATAGATAGAACGAATCATTTTAGCGTAAGCTAAACCATATTCTTGTTGTCTTTCTTAATATTAGCTTTCTCCCTTACTGTATAAACACATCAGAGATGAGAGAGAAAAATCATAGCCCTCCTCCATCACAGTAATTTGCCCCCCCCCTTGCAGAGGCAGCATTTATTTTTATTTTTTTTATTTTTTTTTTGCTGAGAGGGTCAGCCTCTCTCAAGGAGAACAAGGGTTGGCTGTGTTTCTGTCAGAAGGGGTTTAGTGCTTGACCTGTGAGTTCACTCGCCACTCAGAGTGCTCCATTGTTTGTGCGTCCTCATTGTGTGTGCGTCACTTGTTTGGGCGGACAGGGTGGGGGCGGGGCGGGGGCGGGCTGCAGCTCGGATTCTCCACACCCCCAGAGCATCGGCCGTTGGAAAGAAGATTCCACGACTGAATAGGTTTCCTCACTTCTGCTACAGCCTTTCATTTCCTTGCGAAGAGCATTGAAACAAGAAACAGAGAACAGGATAATTACATATTTATTCATATTTAGCAATTGAAAAACTGGCAAAATAGTCACAGGATGAGGAGATAAAGCGAGCCTGTATCTTTTAAAGTGCTGAGTTTCTTAAGCATTCCTTTGCTGCTGTACTTTTGAGGCTTCATTCGTTCCCCCCAGAGGCACGGAGTACCAAACGGCGTTCCCGTGAGTGTGATGTGTGGAGGAGCCCACAGCAGTTTGGCACAGTCTTTGTCCTTGAGGGTGCCGGCTGATGTTTCATGAGCCTGCTCAGTACTACCTGATATATAGTACTGCGCAAAAGTCATAGCCAGTCAAAGAATATGTTTAAAGCGATTTATCTGGATACTAAGTGTACATTAGCTCAGGAAACAAAAATGAATATTAGAACATATGCAAATAAACAGCAACACAATAAAAACTATCAAGAATCTTACTGGTATCTTGTTGGGTGGAACGGCGTTTCAGTTCCCAAACCTCACCCCAGGCGCCGCCCAGCCATTCCATTTATTACATAAATTTCACCAGCAGGTCACTTAATTAATTCACTTAATTAGTCAACTTAGTAAGATATTGATTAACCAAATAAACTATGCTAAAATTATACCGGTATACTGAAGTGATTCTAGAAGAGGTTATGAAGTGGCTAAGCTAACACACTGACAAATTGTTTTTTGGCAGCATGAAGATCTTTTATGAATCTTTTTCTTTGATTCCTTATGACTTCTGCACAGTGCTATAGGTGTAGTTAAACAACAAGGCTGTTTTTTCTGGCATATTGACAGGCCTGCGTTCACTTTGAGCCCCTATAATGAGCTGCCTGCTTGTGTATAATGGTGACACCCACCTAAAACTGAACAACATTTAGGTGCTATTAGTACTTGCTAATCAAACCTAAAGCGCAAGTTCAAAGTTGCAGATGCACAGCCATCCTGTCATTGTGAAGCCTGCAGCTATCTGTGAGATCGTATATAATGTATATAATGAGTTGCATTTAACACCCCCTCCATGTTGCGTTCCTCCTCTCCCACACGTGTGTGTCATGTATAACGGCTAATGAACATTGGATTACCGGTACCCAGTAGTGAATGAATCAGCACCGGGAAGGGAGTCTGATGGGGAGGAAATGGAGGGAGGTGTGCTTGCAAACATTTCAGTGTACATCTTCCACCAGTTTAATCAAGGGGTGCTGGCAATCTGTCTTCTCCTTCATTGTCATCCAGTGGGGTGGGGCGGGGTAGGGGAGTCTATTTATCATACAGTCTTAATGTGCTAATTCTGTGTCCGTAATCTCTGGCAAGATCATCAATCAATGAAGACATTGACACACGGCTCCTAGCATCCGCCCCTTCCCTCACACACACGCCATGCACGCACACACACAATCACATAACCTTCCCACCTTCCCAAACCCCATCACGCAGAAAACAAAGGGGCCATCTCTTTACATGTCTTCAGATAGAGCTTGTGCCCCTCCCCACCTTGCAACACAAAGCATGGCACACTGTCATCACTGATTAATGGAAGAGTCAGAGCTGTAGCTTATTCATAGCTTTTTTAAAAGCATGTCCTCATTTTGTGCCACTGAAGATCTCCAGTTTTTCAGAAGCAAATGTCAACACATTTTTGTATTATTCTTCATATGCCTGCAATGGGAGACAATTTTCTCAGCAGACCAGCTTCTAGACAGATATACTTATGTGCACTTACGGAAAATACATTAATATGTCTTCCTGCTTTTGTGAAATACATACTAGTAAATGGTTTTAAGATTTATGGCCTGCTCTGCACGATACTAATTCACATGTCCGTCTGCAACTTTACCCACCGTTAACTGTTATTTGTCGAGGGCAGACGAATGTAATTGTCATTGAATCATTTACGGCGCTGGCCTTGTACAGTGAAATCCGCGAAGACTTTCCAAGTGATTTTGTATAATAAGAAATGTGTGTTTTCTGAGGGCAGCCTTTAATAATGCATGCCGCAGTCTGAATTATTTAGGAGCAAAGCCTTTTTTTTTTTTTGAAGGAAATGTGCCCTGCTGGAGAAACAGGAGGTGAGTGGAGATTCTGTGGATTCTGATGGCTTTTTGTTTTAGTGTCAAACTTTTACACTGAGTGGGCAGTTAAAAGGGAGTTATTGCACTTTAAGAGATTAGAGGTGACAAAGCTAATTGTGACGGCGTAAGTCGAACATGCACACCTCTTCTGACCTTTACTCAGGCTATGAGAAGTAAGTGGCTCACAAGAAGAACCCCATTAAAAAATAAATAGAGGTGCTTTATGAAAAGGTCAGGACACATGTTTCCGAAAAAATGTATTAATCTCCCAGCCAAGAGCAATAGACTTAATTCTAATTTGTAAAAGGGAAAAGGAGACGGGGTAATATAACATGTTTGTTTCTGTTCAGGCACTTTTTCAATATCTCTTATTTACAACATGAGCTGTGTTTCTGTTCGGTATGAGCATAAATATCGATATGTGTCACTGTGCTCACTATCCTTCAGCCAGGCCGCTTGAAGGCGGGTAATGCTTGTGATATACCACATTATACCCTAGTTTAATCGCTGCAGATAGTGAGGAGTCTCACAGAGACTCTCCCTTCTGAGCTCTCGTGACTTGTTCTTTACCAAATGCTGTCAAATAAATGGCAGCTGTACACAAGCGGCCATCATAGTGTCCATCTCCCTCCCTAATTCTTTCCATGCTCTTCGCAGTCACAGAGGAAATTCCTGGCTCACTATTTCAATTCAGGCCTTCTATATGAATGCCAGTAATGTGCTTTCATTGAGTAGACTGTGCATGTGTTGGATTTTTTTTTTGTTGTTGTTATTCTGAATTACGAGTTCTAAAACCTCACTGCCTTCAAAATCGCACGGCTGGACAAACAGGAGACTCAAGAATGCCGTAATGAAGACCAAGTTATTCATACACTTGTTGGTATGTTGTTATTTCAAAATTTTATACAAGGAAAAACTGAAAATGTGACACAGTCATGAATTTGGTTTTCATGTAAAAGCAGTCATATCCATAATATTTATTCATAATATCTTTTTCTCACTTTCTAAACTTTTCTCAATTTCTTTTCCTGCTTTACAGAGTGGCACTAAAGTTTGCCTTGTCAATAATAATGTATTAAATCTACCCATATAAAGGAAAGAAGTTATAGTCTGCATCACACATCCAAACCACCTTCTACTCTTATCTGGGGGGGGGTGGTTGGATGTGATGCCAGTCACCTCAATATGCATGTCTTTCTATGTGCTAGGACTATGTGATTATATGACCTAAAACTGCATGTACTGCGTGGTTATTGTCTGTATGTAATGTAATGCCTTCCAGGGACAGTACACGACTCTGCCATGCATGCTACTTGTTAGGTCACGTGACATGTCGGTCACGCTTTATTGGCTGGAAAGTTCATGCACCTAATCAGCATCGGCTAAACACCAAAGGGACAGAATGCTCTCCTTTCCACCCCGAGCTTCTCCTGGAGACCTCAGCCTTCGAGGTGAGGCGTGTAAATCATGTGCTGGACCGGGAAGGGTTGAGGCCCGTTGTCCGTTTTGATTTTCCTGTCGCCTGTTGTATAGGTGTTTGTAGCAGACAGGGCCATTATGATAAAGTGATTGGATTCAGGGGGAATTGCCTGTACTTTGGTAATGATGTAGAGCACCATCCGTCATGTTTACACCTCGATGGGAGGTAATAAAGCTGTGCGATATTGCTGCTTGTCAGAGTGGATGTTCTGTGTCGGTACTGGGGACGGAGGGGAAAAAAACGGGGTTCTGTCAGTGCATCGTCTGTGTGGTGATTATATTTTACTCACAGTGAGCTTCAAACCGAAACCATTTCATAGTTTTCGACTGGAAAATGCCTCAGGGAATCTGAGAGAGAAATAACAGGCAGTTCTGCAGAAGGAGGGGGAGGGTGGCCCCACCACACTTTCAGAAAGATGACATTTGTCCCCCCCCCCCATCAATTTAGTTCAAAACAGGTAGGTGCTCTGTGATGTGTGTCTCCCCGCTTCTCACACACCTTTTTATATCAGTGCAATGCCGCTGTGTGAAATGGTCTCTGTCTTGGGATTTTATTTTGCTTATTTATTTTTGATAAATAGTGGGTCCAGAATTCTAGGAAGACAATGAATGCTTTAGCGTGAGAAAGCCCAGTGTTCTCTGTGAAATAGGGGCGCCGTGGCAGGTGTAAATCCACAGGACTAAAGGATGTTTGTGCTTCTGTCATACATAATAAGGTAGTTTAACATTTCAGAATCCTTGCAAAGTCATCCAGGATAATAAATAATATATCCAGCCTTGGACTTCAAAACCCCTAGCAGCAGTGAACAGTAAATATCAGATTAATGAATCTTTGGAGAAATTCCAGACTTGAAGTGTCTGCTTCTTGGTGGATTTAAAGCTAAACTATGAGGATGGATTGTCTTTGCCTGGTCAGCTTTGCTTACTAGTCTGTTGCTTTGCTAACAAAAAGGGAAAATATTGTGTTTCAGGACGTGGAGTCGATGTATCACATCACAGCTCATCTAAAACCACATGGAAACAATATCTTGCAATCTCCTGAAAAGGTTACAGATGCTGTATTTGCAACAATAAAAATTAATTGGTTTTTCTGTTCTTTTTTCCCTTCAGCCGTGTGTTTTTTTTTTTCATTTTACCTCTTAGATGTGATGACTCACTGTAATGATTCTGAACAAGCTGATTTTAATTTGAATTTTTTTGTTTCCGAAGTAATAAAAACTGACATGACAGTGTACCTCGAGCAGACACAACTAATGAGAAAATGAAATTAGTTTTTCGGCTGGTTGATCAGAAACATACTATACATAATAATCAAGCATTTATTTGAGGTGATTGTATGTGTTTCACAAACCCAGGAAGATCAGTACCCAGTTTTCTTTGTCTGATGTCTGATCTAGCAAAAGATGTATAAAACTCTTTGTATACATAAATAGCATGTGTTCCCACAGGTTTTGACCTTCTTAATCACTGTACAAAATCAGTCTGATGTTTTTCATTTTGTTTTTGAATTATACAAATGATACAAGTTGCACCTAATTATTTCTGGTATATACACTCACTGCACTTTTAAATGCTGTATTTTATGGGACTTTGAAGAAATGCATAGATTAAAATTGCAGGTTTCATTGTTTACTAAACCAGCTAGGCTTCGGAAGAAATGATGGAAAAAAACAGGAGACACACAGATTTCTGCAGACGGAGTGTGAGACCCCTGGGATAGAGCTTCTGGAAATTTCCAGTCTTCTATTATTCATACATAGAGGAGTCTGAGGCCCAATTAAGCAACACCCAAATGCTGTTAATTTCATGTACGATTTGCTTGACCATCCACTGGGAGACTTTAGTTGAGTTAGCTGATAAAGGAGGCACAAAACCTAGGAGGATTGGTATGGGAGATGGGTACATTTTTAATATTTTTCTTAGCAACTAAATTAATGAGTGAATAAATGAATTCATTGACATAGCTGAGGTATGTGAATGTTCAAAAATATATGTAGCTGCTATTTATTTATTAGTGTTACTGCTGCTTTGGTAGTGGTTTACTTGAGGAGTGATTATATGAAACCTGTTTCATAGTCACGATGCTTGTCACCTAGCTTTTCAGATGTTGCTTGGGTAGTGGCTAGGAAGTAGAACTCGGAGCGCAGTGTTCTTGGTTGCCTGAATGTCTTTGTCCCTATGCCATCCGAACAGAAAGCTGTTGATTTACTCAGTAAACAATATGGGGTTTTTCTATCCTTGATGAGTGCTAATTGTCCCCCACCCCCCCTTGCTTGCCTCTTGCTGTCTCTCCCTGCTGTTCCTGACAAATGTTTGGTTAACAGGTTCATTAACTGCAGATCTGAGCTCCAGTGGCGCTCAAAGTGGAGATCATCCCCGGATCAATAGGAACAGAAAAGCCTTGATATTTATATGTTTCTCCTGCTACCACAGTTGCCATCATTTACCATCGAATGTAACAAATCCTGAGAGTTGTTACCACTGTTTTTCATGACATCTCATGCAATCCTCTGTGAGGAGCCTGTTGAACAAGGACAGTCAACTTCAAGAGGCAGCTCTGGAGACCGATGCATAAGATACTGAAGCAGATTGCTGGAAGGCAGACTGAAGGTGGTGAACTCGTACTTGCCCAACATCAGGTGACCATGTTCGGTCATTCAGGACTAGACATAAGCACAGTGGGTGGGCTGTCCAGGGGCCAACATGACATGCCATGCTGCATCAGTTTTGTTTAGGTCAGACTCTACCTTCATCCCTTTGGCTCTTCATGCCTGGATCCACATTGGTCAAGGGTTTCTTGGCAGGTAGACTGGCTACCAGGGCAGCCCTGCATAGAACTGGGGTTCTGCTATTTGCTACTGGTTTGAGGCTGATTTTGTGAGAAGAACAGGGCTCTGGCTCCCGCCAGTTTGCAGTCGTTTGAATTTTTAAAAATGCAATTTCTCTGTTCTGTTCCAGCATAATAAAAGCCACAGTTGAACATAATTACCTTTACATTTGAAATAAGTCACACTGTAAATGAAAAGGCCCTTGCATTCTGAACCGCTTGCTAATACATTTCTAGTGGAATTGTCAATGCATTCTAAATCAGATGGCCACCCGTTGAAAATCATTTCCTAATGCATTCTAAGGGAATTATCAATGCATTATGGATGGATATTCAATATATGATTAATAATTCAAAAGATAATTTAAATAGATTATCTGGATAAATTTATGGTTAAACTGGATTTACTACTTCTGCAATCAGGTGAAATTTTACATCAGGACTAAAAGTATATTGATGCATTTCAGAAGAGTTCAGAATGACTGCTAATGTATTTCTGTCTGCATTTTATATTACATTATGAATGATTTGATAGAACCTTATAAAAATTCTTCTGACTTATTGGATTGTAAATGTAATAATTAAGTTACTTCTCATAAAGCATTTTATTTTTTTTCCCAAGGATATTTAATCTAAAGCATCATATTTGCAAGTCCCTAATACTGAACAGCGAAGGTTAATCTAAAGCAATCTTTTAATTAAACACAATTCCAAGATTAACCTTGGGTGGTTGTAATGAAGGGAATGTTGGCAGACAGAGGAGCCTCAGTCTGTTCATGAACTGAGTGCTTTACGTGTCTCTCAATTCTTAGTCGGAACCCTTAAGGAATCAATCACAGCATGTTAGGAAAAACGGCCCTTTCAGTTGATGCTTGTTTAAATATTACTTTCATTGTGATTTATAGGAAAACCCGGTGATGACAGCAGTTATCATAATGCATTATAGCTGCCTTCAAAATGCTTGATAATGCAGTCATAAAGTATTCTAAACACGGTTATAACTATTTATAAAAAGGCATAACACCATAGCCATGTTTGTTATGCATTATGAATGATCTTTGATGCTCTCATCTACAATGCACTTTAGATACCATTATAATGCATTATGATGCATTATGAAAGTATTTATAGTGCATTATAGATGAGAGCCTCATAGAGTAAAGTGTTACCAAAAATCCTAATGGTAACCTTAACTGAATGCTTATATGGACTCATAACTTGCTCTTGTACTCTTGTGCAAGATGTTAAATGGAAAAACATCCAACTGGATAAAATGGTTAAAAAATGTCAAGTTACAAGCAAAGTCAGTGTACATGGCTGGATAGCATAGATGGGCAATTCTGTTAGGTAAGTACTGGCTTTTGTTCTCGCCTGTAGTGAAAAACATATGCAACCCAAGTGCAGTGTAGACTGGTTTAATGTTTCACAATGAGGAATGACTGCCCCCCAAAACTGTTCCGCTGGACTGTATGCTTCCCAGTCAACAAATCACTAAAGCTGCCCCTTTAGAAATGAGATTCCGAAAGTGGCATGGATGCAGTAAAAACCTGTGTGCCACCAACATCGAATAGGAGAGGAGGCTCAGTGGACACAGTAGTGAAATATGGCACCCCCCTGCGATGCATTAGGGTGGCTGAATACCACCATATGCGGTATTATCGCAATTTTTTGTGCTGTTTTTGTAAATTACTTAATTTATCCTGATTTTAGTGCTATATAAGTATGCATTATTATTAGGCTGCTATTAGGTATATTGTTGCATTTTAAATAAGGGTATTTTACTGCCCATCCGCAGTTCTAGAAGTTGGTCATAAATGTAAAAAATCATAAAACATTGATATTTCAAAATAATCAAAAAGGTCCTAAAATGATAAATGATTTCCTAAATGGATGCCTTTAAAGCTTTCAGTGGCAGCAAAACTGAAGCGATATATCCAAGATTATCATCGAGTGCTACCAAGGGTCATATCGTTGAAATCACCATACCAGGCTAAGCGAAATTACATTTAAATGCCTGTAATGCCAAAACAAAGCATACAATCATTTTGGGCAGAAATTTTACAGTTTAAGTATTTTTTTTTTATTATTATTTATAAGTAACGCATTCAGAAATCGGTTTGTCTCATTAACATTTCGTGACTGTCAGGATTTAAACCCGCCCTTGTTTATGAATGCAGTAGTGTGGTTGGCTAAAAGCACTTGCCAATCAGTCAGAACTACAGCTGTTGGCTTGGCTGAGGGCTCATCGTGTTCCTAAGACTCTTTATGCACTGAAAGTCATAAATTGTGTGTATAGGAAGTTTATGTGTTGAAATCCAAGTAAAAACAGCATGTCTGTGGGTCCTTGAGCAAGGCCCTTAACCCCCAGCTCCCTGGGCGCCCCAACATGTGGCTGCCCTTCGCAGACAGCTTACTCTACAAAAGAGCAAGTTGAGGGGGGCGATTCCCCACGGGGATCAATAAAAGTATCGATTATTATTATTATGATCGGAAAATGACCTAAGAATGATAGAAATGTAATCATTTTTGGACTTGTTATTTTATTATTTGTTTTATGAAACTTCAGGATTTGAATGCAAGTCACCTCACACACCCCATTTGAACCCATCCCTCTGCTGTAGGTGCATCCCTAGGTTCCATCTCCCTGAGGAACAAGGAAGGTTTATAGTCTCCCTTGTGGAAGCATTATCTTCAAGAAGGGGTGTTCAGGAGAGTTCTTTACAAGCTCTGTCCAACACTCTATCCCATCCGCTTGATTATAGTAATGCAGTAGTGTATGACTAAAACTCAGTTTCTTTATTTGGCTTCTCCATTTGCCACTTGGCCTGGGAAGACAGGCTGATAGCACCTCATGTTCACCTGCAGAATGCTTTCCATACCCATAAATTGAATTCTTCAGCCGAAATGATGCCCTCAGGTAAACCATAAAATCTACCTGATTGAAGAGGCACACAAGCTTCATAGCCTTAGGTAATACTGAGAATCAAGTAACAAATCTTGGAAAAGTGACCCAGTATAACTGAAACTGTAAAACCATCAAAGGCAAGCAAATCAGTTATAGAATCCATAGCGATTTCAGAGGTCTGTGTGGGATTGGTTCCAATCAACTTACCAGTAACTTTCTTAGTACCATGGACTGGCTGCATACATGGTAGGACAAGGCAAGTCCTTGATGAGATAAAGCAGCGTCTTAGGAACACAATGACATAAGACAAAGGCTTTGATATTTGTGCCACCAAATACACAGCAGTTCCGGGATAGCTGTGGA